CTAACAGGCCACTGTCTAATAGGCAGACATGCAAGTAGACTTGGCGCGCCATATAACGACTATTGTAGAAGCTGTCAGGAAGTAGAAGAGGAGGAGACCATTAAACATCTTCTCTGCGATTGCGCAGCACTATATAGGAAAAGAATCGCAACCATCGCTTGTGGGTTTCTTGACGACGTTTCGGAGGTTGCACAGATAAAACTTGTCTCACTGATGAATTTCATCAGAAGTACGGGGTGGTTCAGAGAGGAGCCAATAGAGTGAGGGGATCACAGTCCCAGTGGTATCACAATGGGCCTCCTAAAGGCCTAAGTGTGTCGAATGACAGCCCCTTTACCTACCTACCTACCTACCCCGTTGCAATCATTGTTGCTTGATTTGCATAGTGGAAAGTGAAAGAATCAGATGTAATTGAAAATGGTGTTATATGGGAAATAGGCGTGGTTGTAGTCCGATTTCGCCCATTTTCGCACTATAATGTAGAAATTTGAAAAGAACGTTACGCACCGAAATTGGTTAAAATCGATGAAGCAGATCCCAAGATATGGGTTTTCACCTAAAAGTGGACGGTGCCACGCCCACTGTCTAATTTTGAACACGGTTCTATAAAGTCATCTCATAAAATCCCATAGATAAAATTTAATGTCTCTGGCATGTTTAGTGCTTGATTTATCGCGCTTTTATTAGTTTTTACCAGTACCGATATATGGGGAGTGGGCGGAGTTGCCACCCGATTTCAACTATTTTCACACTGTAGGTAGAATTTCTAAAAACATTTGCTTCCAGTGAATTTTGTTATTATAGCGTTAGCGGTTTAGGAGATATGCACATTAAACCTATTAGGGGCGGGACCACGCCCACTTTAAAAAACAAATTTTAACTGCAGATGCCCCTCTATAATGTGATCCTGTGTACCAAATAACAGTCTTGTATCTTATTGCGGAGCTTGGTTATGGCAATTTATTTGTTTTTGATTAATGGCGTTAGGCGTGGCAGTGGTCCGATTACGCCCATCTGCAATACCAACCGTCTCACGGTACCAAGAAACATGTGTATCAAGTTTCATAAGGATATCTCAATTTTTACTCAAGTTAGAGCTTGCACGGACGGACTGACGGACAGACAGTCACCCGGATTTCAAATCGTCTCTTCGTGCTGATCATTTATATATATATAACCCTATATCTAACTCGATTAGTTTTAGGTGATACAAACAACCGTTAGGTGAACAAAACTATTATACTCTGTAGCAACAGGTTGCGAGAGTATAAAAATAAATGCGTTTTTGAAGTTCTTTTCAGAATATCAGATGCGCATGCTAATAGCATTACAGTCGCAAAATTTCATGGAATTCCTATGTGCGTTTGCAAAGTTATCGGCATTTTTTGAATTCTACTAATGGATAATGAGCAGAAAAAGTATCCGCTAACTGCTTATTACATTAATTTATTGTAGTTCCTACGCATTTAAGACCTGATAATTTTTTGTGCGTTGTTGTCAATAAATCAGGCTTAGATAATCGAAGGAAAAATCTGCAATTTGTGAGTAAATTTTTCGAATTATTCAGCTTTAATCGAAATGCGTGCAAAAGACAAAGAAATAAGTGTTGATGAGCGGAAAATAATATTAAAATTAAAGGAGTACAGTAAAAGCTTTCGTGAAATTGGACGAGTTGTCAACAGAACGGAGTCATCAGTTTGATACGTCATCCAGACTTTCAAACAAAACAGGAATTATTACTTCAAAGCCTCGATCTGAACGTCCGACTGATCGGAAAACACGCAAAGTTGTATCTCTTGTAAAGGTTAATCCGCGTTTAACCGCTTCCCAAATAGAAGAAGATCTAAAAATACGATTTAAAAAACAATGTGCAGCGACACAGCAAGAAAAATATTAAAAAGGGTTGGATATCATTGGCAAGTGGCACGCAAAAAGCCATTCATTTCCTTAAAAAACCGTATGAAGCGCATTGCATTCGCAAACGAACATATAACCAAGTCTATATCTTTCTGGGAATCGGTTTTATGGTCGGATGAAATCAAATATGGTGGATTTGGAGTAAAAGGAAGACAGATGGTGTGGCGAGAACTGGTACGGCCTTTGAAGCACGAAATCTTACTTCAACCGTAAAGCATGGTGTTCTATTCTGGGGGTGTATGGTAGCAAGTGGAATTGGTGGCATTGAGTTTATCGAAAATATAATGAATACATTTTATTATCTAAATATTTTAAAACGACAAATGAAGCAAAGTGCTGACGAATTAGGATTGCCAAACGTGTTTTGTTTCCAACAGGACAATGACCCTAAGCATACAGCGGAACTTGTTCGCCTTTGGCTTCTTTACAATGCCCCAAAACAGCTACATTCACCTCCACAATCACCTGACCTCAATCCAATTGAGCATTTATGGGCTCTATTGAAGCGCAGAATTCGCACACATACGATTACCAGCAAAAAAATGCTCAAGTCCGTTATATTGGATGAATAGAGTAAAATGTCAGCCCAAGATACGAGAAAATTAGTACATTCCAAGCCTAAACGTATAGCAGAAGCTCTAAAATTTCGAGGCTACCCCACCAGTTATTAAACTTTTTATAATACTTGATATTATTGTGTTCTGGTTGATGAGACTTTTTCTGTTTAAGTTAATTGTTTTTAAAATAAAAATTAACTCTGTGGCTTTCGTTTATTGAATAATTTAAAAAAAGTAAATTTTTTTAAGCGAAAAGATATGATTTAATAACACAAAACAAAATTTCTTAATTGCTCAATTGGTCAAACTTTTATTTTAGTTCAAAAGATTTTGTACTCAGTGAGCGGGGACTTTAGTGTATACCTTAACCACAGCAACGCATATCTGATGTTTTCTAGTATACCATATTTTTTGCTGGAAAATGTGTACTCAAGTATACCTGGGCAACGTAAAAAATAATGCAATCAGAACGTCACTTTCTCTGCCCTCAATATAGCCAATATATGATTTCCGACTTTTTACTTGACCTTAAACTGTTCAGGTTGGTCAAAATGTGTGAAAGGATGATAGATAGGTTTAAAAGACAAACTTTTTGGATGGAATAGTTTTATTATTTTATGAGATTAAATCTGCATTCATTTGTGCGACAGTTTAGTGTGTCCAAACATATTGTGACGTACACGGATATAAATTGCCAGAAGCAACTAGACAGAGAATTCGTAGTTGCCAGAATGTTCTAGTAGCGAACTTTTGTTAAAGATTTACTATATCAAGACTGCCGGGTTGGGCAGCAAACACAGTTCTGGTTAGAGTGTTGTCGTGTTAAGAGCAATTAAGATGTAAGCAAGAAGTTGTAAGCACGGATAATAAGAATTAGCCGTTAAGCTGTTGGAATTAAAAATAAAGATAAGTGTATAGCCATTAAATGGGACTTTTATTTAACATTCCAGTGATTGAACTCAAGAGTGAGTTACAAGATAGATGATTTACAATCGTTACAATTGGTGTAAGAAATGAGATGGAGTAAATTCCCAAGGAGATAATTATTTGAAAATGGCCAAGTTTAATGATTTGAGGATTTCACAACTGAAAAAGGAACTCCAGCAAAGTGGTTTGGAGACAAATGGATTAAAAACTGAATTACAATCACGTTTGAGGGAGGCCATGGAGGCGGAAAACAAAGATAGATGAAATGGAAGAGAAATGTCAACGCAAATATCGACACAGTTAAAAGAGCAGCTCGCAGCGCAAAATGCACGTATATTACAGATGATATCAAAGCAGTTGGAAGAACGGTTCGCAGTGAAAGATGCACGTATATCAGCACAAGTGGAAGAGCAGGAAGCGTGTTTACCAGTAAAAGCGTCCTCACAGTCGAAAGAGCTGGACGTGCGTATGCCAGCGCAGGTGTTCTCACAGTGGGAAGATCATGAAGAATGTGAACCAGTACAAGTGTCCCTATCAATGTTGTCGTCAATCAGCTATGAAGAGGATTGCCAATTATACTGAATGCATTGTAGTTGAAGGGTCAAGATCCAGGAGTCATGGCCAGATCAAACACTACAATTCGGGTGCGCAGTTGAGGAAATTGCCCTGGATGAAGATGGTCCATTTTCCACCAATAAATAAGGAAATAGTCATGTTTTGGTAGTCAAGGAATGGCCAGAAATATGCACAATTTCTAACCAAGAGGCTGAACCAGTGGCGGACGCATTCATCAACAAGTGGGTAACGTGGTTCGGTGTTCCAATAGAGTTAAGCCCTGATCAAGAATGGAATCTTAAGTCAGCTTTAAGTCAAAGTATGTACCAGAAACTGGGCATCTGTAAAACGGATGGAATTAACTCCAAGAAGAGATGGATGGCTAAGGAAGTTAGCACCAACCTACAAGACGATTTGACGGACATAAACCGTCTGCACCGCACCGCAATAATGTTTAATCGGGACGACCAGATTTAAGTGGAGGGCAGTATGACGAACATAAATGATAGACCAAATCGAAGCGACAATAAATTGTCAGAAGCAACTAAACAGCGCATTCGTAGTTGCCAGAAAGTTCTAGTGGCAAACTTTTGTTACATTATTACTATATAATGGCTGCCGGATTGTGCAGCAAACACAGTTCTGGTTAGAGCGTTATCATGTTAAGAGGAATTGAGATATAAGCAAGAAGTTTTAACCTCGCATAATAAGTAGTAAAGCGTTAAGTTCTTGGAATTAAAAAGAGACAAGTGTATAGCCATTAAATGGGACTTTTCTTTAACCATCCAGTGATCGAACTCAAGAGTGAGTTACAAGGTAGACGATTTATCGAGAAATCCCTTACAGTATTAATTGTAATATACGAAATATGAACATTTATAAATGGAAAAATATTTCAATGCTAAATTGATAACTGACCTTGAAAAACTGTATTTTCCAACATTTTGTGTACTTTTTTCTTAAATTCCTTTGCAAACTATAAGACTATAGTCTTAAAATTAAAAATTGTATTAGTAACTAATCTAATTTATATTTGAAAATCAGTCTTCTCTCCAAAGGGAAAATACCGATCCATATCGCAATCGAAAAAACATTCTAACACCACCACCCCAAAAACGCATTAAAAGTGCGGACCTATTTCGTGCCCAACACGGCATTAATTCCGAACGAGCTCTTTCAGAAGCAGAATTTCCAGCTATTTTACAACATCAAATATCTCGGGAACGAAGACATATATTTAGTGATTGCGATAGACTCACAGAAGCCAGTGAAACTAATATAGGATCATCTATAGAAGAAAAAACAGCTTTAAATTTTCAGGTAAAAACTATATTTTACAATTCATTTTGGCTTTAACAATGTTTTTTAGCGCACAGATACACAACCCACACATGATGAAAGTGCCGATGACGACTCCAACTGTAGCAGCGAGCTCCCTCTTGACCGTGTAGGTGCACACCAGGAAACGAATGACTCAGTGGATAATCTACGACCTACCATGCAGAACATGTTTTCAGGAATTCCGAAATCTTTGGAACAACAAGCCCTTTTAAATAAGAATGATTTTGGTATGTTACTAGTTATAACTTTCAATCTATTCAGTACTTTACATATGAATATACGTGGGTCAAAATAAAATTGAAGACTATATTTTGAGGTTTTATATTATTTAAGAAATCTTTAAAATGTTGTGAAATATTCAAATATTAATGCATCTGTTTACGAAAGTTCTAACGGGACAGTAAATAAATCAATATACATTATACTTTAGGACACATCGTTAATACAATAAAACCGATAAAGGCGTATCACTTTTCTCGGCATAAAATTATATGTTTTAATTAGACAAAAGGGAATTGAAAATTATTTTTATGTTTTAGCGGTTTTTTCATCTTTTTTAGGTGTTACGACAGTATGAGCAAATCGAAAGGTATTTCTTCTTTTTCGGTAATAAATTAAAGGCATATACAAATTGCAGTTGTGGCAAAGCAAAACATTTTCCTTCTAAAGTTCCTTACAGCTTGCTAGTCCTCTACCCCATCATGGTAATATCAAAAATGATTTGAGTTTTTTCGTGATATTTATTACTCTCGCAGCTTGCAAGGGTCAAAGCCTGGGAAATTACTTCAGGTGTTGGCAAAATTTCATATTAAAGGAAATAAGTACATATCCAATTCAAGCCATTTTTGACACAAAATCATACTATTATGGAGAATTTTCTTTATTTATTTTATTATATAAACTTCAATTATATATCTTACACATTGACCGATATTTTCGGAAAAATGTCTACTATAAGTCAACGCTGCCACGCGCACTGCATAATTTTGAACGCGGTTCCTATTAAGTCATCTTAAGCCATCTCAGAGATAAAATTTAATGTCTCCGACGTGTTAAGTGCTTGATTTATCGCGCTTTTAGTAGTTTTTAACAGTACCGTTATATGGGGAGTGAGCGGGGTTGTCACCGAATTTCACCCATTTTCACACTGTCGATAGAGGTACTAAAAACTTTTGCTGTCAGTGAATTTTGTTATTATAGCTTAAACGGTTTAGGATATGCACACTTAACCTATTAGCTGGCGGACCACGCCCACTTTTGAAAAAATTTTAGACTGCAAATGCTTCTCCCTAATGTGTTTCTGTATACCAAATAATAGTCTTGTATCTTGTTGTGAAGCTTAGTTATGGTAATTTATTTGTTTTTGATTAATGGCATTTGGTGGGCATGGCAGTGGTCTGACTACGCCCATTACCAACCGTCTTACGGTATCAAGAAACATGTATACCAAGTTTCATAAATATGTCTCAATTTTTACTCAAGTTACAGCTTGCACAGACGGACTGACAGACGGACGGATGGACGGACAGACAGTCACCCGGATTTCAACTCGTCTCTTCATCCTGATCATTTATATATATATAACGCTATATCTACCGTTAGGTGAACAAAACTATTATACTCTGTAGCAACCGGTTGCGAACCTAAACAACAGGTGGAGCGAAAAAAAATGTACACCCTACTGAACAGTGTCTATGTGCTTTAATGCCTTTCTCATTTCGTTAGTATTTCTATTCCACTACAGGGTCATGTTTTGCACGGAACCTGAATTGGTGCGTTGGAATTATATTATTTTCAGAATACTTGTACATTTTTGATAGTAACCCTTTTTTAAACATTTTGGAAAGACCGGGTAGTAGGCTCATTGTCTGTAAGATGGCGGCTATGCTAAGTCTTTTCCAGGTTTATTTATTGTAGTTATTAGTAATCTGCGATTTTTCCCATGGATTCGGATAAAATGCAAAACTGAAAATTTCATTAAAAAAGAAAAAGAGCATTACTGCAGCAATATTTGGTAGCTCCATTAGCATTTGTGGGGTAATTTTAACGTGCCCTGATGACTATTTTTTACTCATCTTTTATATGATCTTTTTTGTTTCAAAAGTTGAAGCCTTAATAGACAACTGCGACTTGTTAGCGGTGTGGAGTAAATTTGGCAGTTTAAGGTCGTTGTTGGGCAGTTACGCTGAAATACCTTTTTTAGGTGGTTTGTAAGGCAAGTTACCTTTTCCTCATCACTTCCAGCCCAATTACCATTCACGTCTCGTATAAGCATATTGGAATCTACCGGTGGCTAATGTGCTTTTGGGCTTTCCAAAAGGATTATTTGTTAAAATTGAACACAGTTTCTATAAATAATTTTCATTGTTGCATTCTTACGCACATGAGTTTAAAGTAATTCGTACAAACACACGGATGTTTTTGTTAAGTTTTACTGACGACACAGGTAAAATTTCTTTATTAAACCCAATGGTGCACTAAAATAAGACATTAGGGCAATGTTGTGCAAATATACCATGAAATTGAGACGGCCACCGATCCCGATTTTAACAAGAATATTATTCAGCCATGCAGCTCATTTTTGGTTGAATGGGTAGGTTAATAAACAAAATTGTCGCATTTGGAATGATGATAATCTACAAGCCATTGTTGAAATGCCGTAACATCCTCAAAAAGTCTCTATGGGCAGAGGTAATCATTGGTCCAAGACGGCGCTAGACAGTCATTATCTCGCGTTGTTGGCCTGTGGCGTGGCCTTCAAGATTGTGGGATTTAACACCGCTGGACAATTTTTGTAGCGTAATGTGAAGTCACCCGAGACGATTTACGTCTTGGACGTCTTATCTTTATATAAAGTCTAAATCCTTGGCCATAGCATTATATTATATGCACTTTATTTCTTCTTGAAAACCAAATGTCTAAAAAAAATACCCTTTACTTACAAATGTTATTTGTAATTACATCGTACATTTATTTGAATGTTAATATGATAGATTGCAAAAATAATACGCCATAAAAATAGTCTACCTATTTTTCAACGTTTATTTCAGCTATTGCTAATCACTCCTTCATTTCCAATTCAGATAAAAATCTTTTTCAATCAGTGAAACGGAAATCATTAGACCACCTTCTAGACTGACTTTATCGCATATATTGATATAGCAGAAAGTCTGGACTGACTGCATTAACTTCTGACATTACTTAGGTATATTTGGGAACAAGATTTAACACACCCACTGACCGACATATGTGGCATAAAACCTGATTGGATAGTTATACGTATTGTAGTATATGGGAGCTGGAGTTATTCGTTGACAAAATTTACACATTTTTTAATTAATCTTTATATTCTATAGTGTACGTTCACTTAATTTTGAGTACATATTGACCGATATATAACGGAAAGTTTGAAATCCTTATATCGGTTATATTGGTATAAGGGGTATTAAGAGCAGTTCCCAATAATGAGTAAGAAAAGCTTCAGTTTATGAACAGACTCTTTTAAATTATTTGATAATGATGCCACAATTGCAAAAATTAATTTTCATATCTTTGTGGCATATCTTTACTTGCTTGATATACCCACCACATACGACCTATTTGAAATAAATTAAATATTTACGTTAAATTACCGTTTATTACTAACTAAAGTAAATTAATATTTGTCAACTCTGAATCTATACTAATATTATAAAGCTGAAGAGTTTGTTTGTTTGTTTGTTTGTTTGAACGCGCTAATCTCCGAAACTACTGGTTCGAATTGAATAATTATTTTTGTGTTGGATAGTCCAGTTATCGAGGAAGGCTATAGGCTATATAACATCACGCTACGACCAGGACGAATAGGAGCAAAGATATAGTGGTAAATGTGTAAAACACGGGAGAAATTATTTCATCTTTGAAGCCTTCCGTTGCGTGCGCCGTGAAAACGGTTCAAGATACACAAAAAATATGTATTAAAGAATAATAGCTCTTTTAATGATCTAAAAAACAGTCCGCGATAGTATATGTCTATCTTTTAAGATTAACTCACAAAAACCGTTTTTATGGTACCTAATTTGGTCGAAATAATTTGTTTAAGTTGTATCAACGTAATAATATTAATCTTTATTCAAATAAATATGTTGTTGGTTAAGAGTACTTCATTGTGAATAAAATTGTCTTTGACATAACTTAATTTAAACCAAAAACTTTAAAGATTACAATGATAAATAACTCCGAAACAAAACCAACTCGCTCTCTGCGCTGGCCGGCGCGGCGGGAGAGAGGCGGTACTTGCGGGCAAGCCGGGAGGGGGGTGTAGCTCAACGAGATACCATGCCGCGCGGCTCAAGGCACAAACAGTCACCGACGAAAAACCGTGTCCCGCATCAGCTGATGCGACCTATCTTATGAGAGCGCAATGTAAATGATCAGTCACCACCGCTTCTACCGTCCGCTACAACAGACCGTACGGTATGATATCCGCGAAAATTGGATTTTTCCTGTAAGCGGCCTTTACACGGTCATTTTTGTATGCAAGCATGTGCGGTGTGATGAGAAGAATGAGCGTGTAAACATAATAAATTCGTGTATGTCATACATGTGTGATGGTTTTTAAAAAATTTTAAAAACATGATGTTGTTATGAACATGTTTTATGGTGTAAACGCTTGCATCATGCTCTGCTTTCACACGAGCAAAAAGAGTCCAGCGACTCGAGTATAGTTTTTCTGTCTGTTTGTGCCGTTTGAATGCGCAACACTTAGAGTATGTTGCATATTTCATTTGTATGTTGGGATGGTGGTCCCACATTTTGCTTGCAATGAATTAGCATGAATGTGGTAGAACAATATGCATAATACCTACCTGCTTAATATTTCCAAGGCCAAATTTATAACAGGAATTTCCTAATATTTATGTATCAAAAATTCATAATTTCTTTACTCAATATTTTTAGGATTCAAAAGTCTTTGTTTAAAAGGCCTAAATATTTTCAAGGCCAAATTTATAACAGGAATTTCCTAATATTTATGTATCAAAAATTCATAATTTCTTTACTCAATATTTTTAGGATTCAAAAGTCTTTGTTTAAAAGGGCTAAATATTTTCAAGGCCAAATTTATAACAGGAATTTC